CTCACATTCAGCCCAGCATCAACCTGCGGGGTTCAGGTGGTCCTTCCACCTCAGCCTTCTAAGTAGCCAGAACTACAGACATGCGCTACCATGCCTAGCTAATTTTTTGATTTTTGGTAGAGATGAGGTCTTGCCAAGTTGCCCAGGCTGGTCTCGAACCCATGGGCTCAGCCAATCCTCTCACCTTGGCTTCTCAAAGTGCTGGGATTACAGGCTTGAGTCACTGCGCCTGGCTAAAAGGAATAAATTTTCTGAAGTTCTTCCTTACTGTGAATTGAAATCCCATCACTTCTTACCCCAGTTCTATCCTTTGCAGCAATAGAAAACAAGCCTGTTCCAAATCCACTCCTTCCTCCTTTAAGTATTTGAAGGCAACTTTTATGTCTCTACTTATATTTTAATTAATTCTCATATGACATGGTTTCCAGATGTTGAAAATAAATCTGAATTGCAGTTTGACTTGAAAATTTTCATAAGTGGAATATAAACAAAAGATCTGAGGACTCAATTATTTTTCATTTATTTGCACCTCTAGTTGACATAATTGGAGGGACTGTCTAGAACCCATGGTCCATCCAGAGTTGTAATCTGCCAGCTCCCAATAACTGAACACACACACACACACACACACACACACACACATACACACACACAGCAATCATGGGGGTGGTTCTGTGATATAAGGTGGGTCAAAGAACCTCAACTCTCTTCCTGGACACAATAAATGACTGAAAGAATAGTCACAAGTTCCAATATGGACTTGTTAAAGTCATTCCCCAAGATTTCGAGCTAGAACCTGGAGAAGGCCTGCTTTGTTCATTCTTGGCTTGTGGAAATATTAGATGTGAAGGACATTTACCCATCTCATAGAACAAGCCAATTTGCTAGAATGAGACCAATAAAAAGGAAACACTGCAAATCTCCAGTTCCAATCATTTCTGAAATCATCTCTATCCTACCTTTCTTGTGATGTGGTTGTATAAGCCAATAATTTCTTCTTGCTGAAATAATTTTGAGTTAAGTTCGTAACACTTGTAACACAGAGGGTCCTATTTAATGCATTATCTACAGGGTTCCAACTATTTCAACAGAACCAATGGAACTTGAATCATAAAAGAGAAGCACTGCCATCCCATCCTACAAAAGGATAAGAATAGAATAGCATTCCATCATTATTTAAGAATGCGAGTGATACCCACTTACCAAAGATTAAGATCAATCTTCCCTAGCAGCCTAGGCTACAAAGGGCTGGCAATGTTCAAAACACCACCTCTAGAACTATCATAGGGCATGGTACATAGTAAGTAGGTGCTTAAGACACTCTCCATTAAACTCTTCATAGTAAACAGAAGACAAAGTAAGCAAAACATTGAATATAAGTTATGAAAATGAATCCATGAATTTGATGGGGAAATTTTAGGTATGTCATTTCACCTTTTTCGGATTGGATTACCCATTAAAATTGTGGGGCTAGATTATCTCTTCAGTCTTTTTTTAGCCATAAAATTTGATGATTCTACACATTATCATGAATGGTAAAAAGGAGTTTTCTAGAGCTCTGGACACATAAAGGTTCAAACAGTAATTAAGAAGAAAGCATAAAAATAATGAGAAAGAATAACCTACCAAAGAAGTAACTGGGAAAAAAAAAAGCAACACAAAATAAAGGGAAGAAATCATCAACAACATAGTAAAAGAGGTCACGCAGGTGTGCCATCTTCCTATTTGCTTCCTATCTTATTCTAACCAATTACCTCTGTGCCAAATTCAGCTGAGCCTTGCCCTTTCATCATCTATATAATTCTTATGATGGTTCCTTCAACTTTGCCATGCATTTCTGTTCAGAGCTGGCTTCCCACTTCTGCCTTTGGTCCTGCATGTTCCTGCTTTTGCTCTCACCGTCCCAGTTAGCTTTTCTTGTTGCCAATAGAATGTACATCTAATTATACGATGCATCCCATCCTGCCTCCTGCAATGGCTGATATCTAAATGTCCATAGTTTTCAAGGTATTGCTTAAGTTGGAACTTAGGATTCTCAAGTCATCATAAAATGGTATCTCTATAAAGTAACCCGTTTACATTGAACTACTCAAAGAAACTGACATCAGATATTTTTGTGAAAGAAAGCTATAATTATATAAAATGTTATATAATTATAATTAATAACTGATATTGCAGTATTACTATATATACATATTAAGTACCACATACCAGCATAGTATGCTATGGATATATATATGGTATATATTATGCATATATACCATACTAAGCATTTTGCACACATTGACTCATTTAGTTCTCACAACACCCCAAGACAGCCATACTAATTATTATCCACACTTTAAAAGTGAAGAATCTGAGACCCAGAAAGAGTAACTTACTCCTGGTTATACAGTTAGTAAGTACAAGAGCCATATTCACCTGACTCCAGAATCCTTGTTCGTACCTTGTATGTGATCCACAAAGGCATTGATCCCTGAGAAAAATGAGGAGGCAATGTTTTGGGGAGACCAAAGCAGAGAGACTAGGAAAATAAAATCAACAGAATCTACTTATCAATTTTGCTTAGAGTCAGCCGTATTTCAAGTAGAACCTTGTTCCCATTATGTAGCAATAGATTATCTGCCATTTTGCATTGTGAAAATGTACCCTCCATTATCCAGGCTAATCTAGTTGACTATAGAATGCTGTACACAGACATTACAATGACAGACAACTAATTCAATCTTCTCTGCTAGGAAGATGCTACTGCTAACATCTCTTCAACTTTTCCCCTATAGCTTTTGATGCAGGGCACTTTAAATACACCACAACTATTCCTTCCTGCAGTATCTAGAAGAAAAAAAAAAGTAATCAAAAATTACTGGGAAGAGAGAGGGTGAGAAGGAAAAAATATTATAATGTGTGGTACAAGCAAAATATTACCACAAAAAAATTATTTTTAAAAGAAAAGAAAACCAGTACAGGGTGATTATCTGATAATTTGTTATTCAGGGGAAAATGAATGTTTATGATGTATTGCTAAACAAAAAAAAAATCTGACCATGCTAGAAAGCATATGTTTAAATAGCCACAGTGGAATTTTCCTATGCCACAGGGTAGAGAGGTATTAAGTATTTCCTATAGAAGAGACCATATTGATTAGCATCTATGCAGGGTCTGTAGCAGTAGCATCATTTCATCAATAAGCAAAACTCTAATTATGTTTAGATTCCACATCTTCCTCTAATTTCTCCAAAATCTTCATCTATTCACTAAGATTTGTATGTACATTGGTTAAAAAACAATAATAATGCCTGCCCCTACCAAAGAGTAATTCAATGTTTCTATGTGACAATTAATTAAAGCTTCCATTCCAGTTTTAGTGAAATGGAATCTGGGAAGCAGACTAGTAAACTCTTTGGGGTCAATCAGGAATTCATCTAAGCACAAAGAGTACAACATTGGATGAAATAGAAGAGATTGTCTCTCACTGAAGTTAGGAAGTTTGGAAGTAATGCTTAACTGGAAAACTGTTTTAAGCTAAAACAGAGCAGCAGGATCTAAAGTAATCCATAATTAAAATATTTAAAAGTAAACAATTATTAAAATAAAATAAGGGAAAGAGTCTAATGCTGTCATTCCAAGTCCAACCAGTTTCTTATCTCACCAATTTGCATCAAACAGGGAAAGAATCAGAGAGAAAAGTATTTGAAAAACTGCCAGGGTTAAAAAAAAAAAAAAATCCCATAATGAACTTTTGCTCATTCTTGGAGAAATGAAGTCGAATTAGATGCTTCAGTGGTGGTGAATTCCAGAATCTGGGTAGCTTCCAGTAAATGAAGCTTTTCCATAATGTCAAATGCAAAAGCTATCTGATATCAACATATTGAACTTGAACTTTTAAATTCCAATTTCCTTACACCAAATTGTTTGAAACCTTTAAGATAAAAACTTCAATGAACTAGTGCTCCAAGCTTTTAGTATTTCAGTCCCCTGAGCAAGCAGGTCAGATTAATCTTCAAATTGCAATGGGCAGAAAGAACATTCAACCAAATTCTCAAGCCCGTGCCTCTCTCAAAGGATGTTAATAACGTAAGCAGTTTCAGTGGCTATTAAGATTTCTAACTTTCCTACTCTCCACTGTACTATTATTTTTTAAAGGGGGAGGAGGGAGAAGGAGAAAGTCATTCCATTCTGAAAGCAAGGGATCTCTCTTTTTTTTTTTTTTTTTTTTAAATCTTTCGACATCCACTTCACACCTAGCACACCACCAGGCACACAGTAGGCATTGAACAAATACTTTTGGAATAAGTTGATAGAATGGCCTAGAGGAAGAGTGGAAATCTTGCATGAATGCAAATCCTGGCACTGCTAGCAACAAAAACTGTCTCCAGCATTAGGGTTCTCAAGGTGAAGTGGGCATTTGCACGTGTATCTTCAAAGTGGCACCAAGAGCATTGCTTGTTTCCTGAGCTGTCCAGCAGCCTCCCAAGAGCCACTTATGGAGCGATTAGACGCGTCCCTGGCTTCACCATGCCTGAAAAACTTATGCCCTGCCTCTCTACTTTGGGTTTCCACCAGAAAACTTAAGCACACGATTCGACCTCGCTGGGTTAACCCAGACCCCCGACGCCTGGTCATTCCATGGGGCTTTCCGTGCGTCCACTCCGAGGGAGGCCACCCCGTGGCAGGCGCCAGGCGGAATACACACGTCGGCTCCGGACATCTTGAAGGGTGAAAGGGTGGCGATGGAGTGGGGTGGGGTGGGGTGGGGTGGGGTGGGGTGGGGTGGAGTGGAGTAGAGTGGAGTGGCGGGAAGCCGTGGGGGCCGAGAGGTGAGCGAGTTCGAGCCCCGGGCGCTCTCCAAAGATGTCCTGTCCCTCTCCCAAAGCCACAGCACCGACCGCCGGGGAAACACCCGCGCGCGCCAGGGGGCGCAGGGTCGCCCAGTGTCGGGACTGGGGGTGGGGGAGGGGCAGGGAGGGGGCCAGGAAGCGAGACGGGGCGTGGGACAGTACCTGGTGTGGCTGTGGTTGCGGGGGCAGTCCTTCTTCTCCATGATGGCCGGCACGCAGTTGGTGAGCTCCGTCCAGTCCGCGTGCAGCCCGCAGCTCCAGCCGGTGGAGAAGCGGGAGAAGAGCCACGTCTCCTTCTTGCCGGGCCGGTGGCAGGTGCACTTCTTCTGGCCGGCTTTGCAGCTGCAGGGCTGCTCCAGCCGGATGTTCTTCACCAGGTGCCGGCCGAACGTGGTGCCCCCGGTCTTCTGGATGTGCAGGAACACGATCACGTCGCGCCCTTTGATGTTGAAATCCACGAAGCGGGTCAGGTCCTTCAGGGTGAAGTTGAAGCGCGGCACGAACCGGGGCAGGGAGCCGTTCTCGGGAGCTTCGGGGTCCGGCTCCTCCTCCTC